TGCACCCTATCTCTAAATTTGATAAAAGAAATAGGAGGTGGTGGTATCGCCACCGGCGATAAATGCTAAAATTCTAATAATAATAATAATAATAACTGTATTCTTAAAATTACCAATTGTCTATGATATTTGTGCAAGCATGAATATTTGGCGTTATGTGCCAAAAATCTCAAGACATTGCTGTGCCATGATCATATGAGCTTGTCGGATAATAAAACAATACTTAGCATCAAATGAGTGTTGCTAATGAAAATTAGGTAAAGACTGCAATCAAATAAATATTAGTCTATATCTAGGTTTCCTGGTTGTCACTTGGCAATACTTAAATAATAGAAAAGAAACATTGATCAGTCAAGAAAGTTAAAAATTTTTTTTTATTACAAGAATGTTATATTACATTATATACTTCTAATTTTCACTATTGGACTAAAAAATAACTCATTTAATGTTTAAAAATGGAATATCGAATGATTTATATCGCACAGAAGAATCGAAACCATTTGTGTAAAAGACTAGATTATAACGTGTATCTGTTAAAGAGGCAGTACGATGCCAGAATACTTACAGCAACAATGTGCAAGTGTAAATTAGTTGTAATATACTAACAAATCTTATTGTAAAAAAATTTAGCACCGAATGTGAAAATATCATCAAAACTTAAATAAAAACTTAAAAGATTATGATTGTCTATATCATAAAAAGGATGGGGTCTTTTGGGTAGTTAAGTATTATATTTTTGGTTACAAAAATATAAGTATATATATTATTTGCAAGAGTTAATTGTATGCGAATTTATTAAGATTTAATGAATACTATAGAATGCTATTGGTTCATATCATACGAAAATGTTATTGCTGACCTTGTTGCCCTATGAAGGTAAAATATAAAGGGCCACAGCCTTCTTCCGTAAAACTAACCAAGCTAAGTGGATTTTGGTTAAGTAATGGAAGAGAAAGCGATCCTGGATCAATAACAGGCGCAGGATCCTGTTGTAATCTTAACTGACCGGATGGCATGTGAGAAGGAACAGAAACTACTTCATAGGGATTGTATTTGCATGTTGATTGTCTTTTGCGAATTTCTGATTGATGTTTAGCCATAGAATAGCGTTGAATGTGAAGATCATTACAACGTTGCGCCTGTAAAGAGAACCAATAATATTAAATATACAGTGCTTCTAAATAAATGTGCTGGAAATCAGAGGGTCTATATTTAAAAATATAAACCTTACTAAAATTCACTAATATTTTTTTTATTATAAACACCAACTCTAAATCCTAACTTAATTAACTATTTGAAAAAAAAAAAATGCACCCCCAAAATTTAAAATTTTCATCTTAAAATAAGTCTAATTTCCAGCTTCATCCGGGATAATAAATTTAGTTTTTCACATACCAAATCTTCGTAAAATTGCTTCTCATCCAGTGAGGCGTTATGCCAAAGCACTCCAGCAACACGACTAATAACACGCATGTTACACCCAAGTCCAATACGTTTTATTTCCTCGTGTATATTTTTGCGGAAGAGAAGGAAACTGTTTGGAGACCTTCTTGGCTTACGTGCGTTAGTCGTGCTAGGAGCAGGGATGAGATCTTCAGGTTTATTGTGGTAAGGAGGAAAGATTCTCTTCTTATTTAACTTTGGGATCAAGTTATTTGCAATATCTGCAATAGAGAAGTTGGATGTTGACATGATAAAATTTTTTGCACAGAAATAAAATGTAGAAGAAATATTTGACTAGATATATAAGACAGTTAACGCAAGATTTCTACGAAAAAAAAATTTTTAAACATATTTTTGAGAATTTATCAAGAATTAAATAGTGCATAATGCATAATTCTATATATAAAAAGGTCTAAACGCGTATCAGGATAAGTCAAGTTATCCGAACAAATATCCAAAAGGTGACAACAAGAATATATTTGATCGAATACAAATCTATTTTGGCAATATATTTGTTCGAATACAAATCTTTTTTGGCAATAAAACGCCTCCGATTTTTATTGAACAAATCTGAAAGAAACATATTATTAAAGCTGACTGGAATTAAATTAGAATTCGTAATACCTGAGATTTTTTGATTACGCGACTTGTTATGAATAATTCATTTTATGCTCTTTGTAGTGCTCTAATTGCCAATCATAAGAGATTTGTGCATATCACCGGTCGTACCAAATTTACCAAATCTGTGCCACTATATACTATTTAAGTAAAATTTTTTTTTTACTAACTGTGGCTTGTGCTCTTTTTTTGTCCGCGTGCAACTAAACATATTTTCTTTGTAATTGTGCTTTCAAACATCATAATATTAATATTTCCTGCGTTTTATACCATTATGGGCCCTAAAGATGACATTAAATTCGGTTGATATTAGTAATACTTCTTTGTATAATTCTTAATTTATTGCAGACATTTAAATCCGAACATAAATGGGTTGATCCGTCAGGTTAAAGTGAATTCAGACGCCATTGCAATAAGCGAGCGAATCCACCTGCAAGTTTGTTCACCGTAACACCTATGTGTTTTTTTAGTTTCCTTGATATTGGCAGGTGTTGTCTCCGATTCACTAATTATGGTTGAAATCTGTAAACATATTGATCAGGGTTCAACCAGAATGGCACACAAAATTCGGGTCACGCAATATACGTCCTACAGTTGCAAGTGCAATGTTATTGCTCGATAATCTATTCATTTCTGAGGAGTCTTAACGTTCATATTCATATTCAGAACCAAACTACCGCGGTTATGTGACCCGAACATTGGACAGATTCCTTTAATCAGTATCAAATAACAATCACCACATTACTGTATATGATAGCGCGGCTTGTTTCGTGTATTACGAGATCTTCAAACGATCAGTAACTTATGTACATACGTACATACGTACGTACATACGTGCATACGTGCATAATATCATATCTATCATAAAAGCAATAAAAGAATCGATTTGTTAATGGGTATCCGTTTGGTATACTAATTTACTGTAGATAATAATAAAAAAAAAAAAACTTTGAAAAATCTATACTATACTTCAAATTACATATATTTAAATATCTTGCGTATTTTGTGTGTCGATATGATTCTTAACATCTCAGCTCCCGTTCCAAATTATAGAATTTTATTCATTATACAACATATATGGGTGGTGCATCTCTGCACTGCGATAAAAATGCATAGTTCCATTTTATTATCTTGTAAAATGTCTAGAGAATACAAATCAATTCGGCTTAATTGTGTATGTCAAAAATGTTTATAGAATTGAAACATATGTCTTAACATATTTGCAAAATCCGCTCCACTTTATTGTGGCGCATGCTATGTAACAATTTGAATAATAGGATATGAAAATGGTGGCATTCTTGGACTTACATCACGGTAACAAAACTCCGTACGTTCGTACACGAGTAATACAAACGCTAAAAAGGAAGTAGATAATCAGAGAGCACAAATTTGGACTATTCCGGATCAGCCCGACATGAATTCCGAACACGTGTAAAAGAAGTAAAAAGCGTAAATCGACTTCGATGCACTAATTAAAAATTTTGGGAACGAAATTTTACATATAACGAATAATAATCTATTGCTATAATCTCTTTAGGCCTTGGTTTATTCAAAAAAAATCCGATTTCCTTTTTTAATTTGTGTTACTCGCGCAAATAAGTAAAATCCTTGATGGCAAAATTATTCCGAAATTCCGGTGCGGCAGTTACGGACCCCTGCATCAGACAATTAGCCACAAGTATCTTGCCGATCAATGGTGCATACCCGAAAGTTTTTGCTACGTACAATAGTTGAAGAATGAACTACGTAGAAACATCCCCGTTTGAAAGTAAATGTCAAACGGCGGTTTGTCCGTTCCCCAGTTATGGGAAAGATTCACAAAGTTATGGATGGTTTCATTTATAAATTATGCTTATTTGTTGAGAAGTACGTAGTGATTTTGGATGTTTTGCATCATGTCTCGGTCTCAAATTAAGAAAGGTCTATAAGTTTTGCTTCATGTTTTCCATTTTTCACTCAAAAGATGTGTACTAATTTATTGATTCCATGAAAGATATTGATCTCATTATCATATAACAAATAGCCAAGATATTCTCATTTAATGGTAATCGATATGACATATTATGAAGTATTTGGTCAATTTTCGCTGGATCGAAAGTATACTGGGTGTTTCATAAGTCCTTATATACGGTCCCTTTTTTTTAAGTGACCTTATATATAGAGATCATTATGATTATTTACATATTTGCATAAATAAGGTCACTTAAAAATAATGCCCTGTATAGAAACTTTTGGAATACCAGGTATATACTTCCATTCATTAGTTCATTTGGTTTCAACCAAAAAAATTCGATCCTGATGTACTAAACAAGATCTAAACTTCAAAATACTATAATTTAACGAAATGTGTACTCGGATAGCGTTGTATAGGGGACAGATTTGGGAAAATTTTGAGGTTTCAAACAAATATCAACTTAAAATTTTATTAAGGCATCCTTAGCTTTTAAATAAAAATATTCAAAACTTAATTATATATTATACTGTTATAAATATTATTCTTTTGATACGTATAGCTTTTCAAGCTATATACGTAAAAATTGAACAATTTACGGAACAAGTTGGGATAGGATATAGCCAAAAAAAGCTCGGGACAATCAAGATGTACAACGCTGTACTCGGGTAATTCCTAAGTTCGTTTTAGTACCCATGATAATTCTTCCTTAAACAGTTTTTATACGTATTTAGGATTTTAGTTATTTATGGTATGATTAGCTTTAGAATTGGTAAAAAAAATCCAAATTTGGTGTGGTAATAGCAACATAGGCGTACGATGTTTTATTATTATATGCCTGGGTACCCAAGTATGATATATACTATATGTCATACCGGTATAAATCAAAATTTGGCCTTTAAAACCGTTGCGGAGTACAGCACACAGAGAAGTACAGTTTTATTTTATTTTATTTTTTTAATTCATACAAATAAAAGCATTTAATTTTTTTTGTCATTATTTCGCACTTATAGTATGATCTTTAACTATAATAACGATAGTAGATTTATTTTTTACAATTTGGATATGCAATAAGTGTGACTACCGCTACTTTTAAAACTTTGATTTTATTTTTCATGAATTAAAACTGGTTTTAATATATCGAAATAAACCGTTCCAAACCCTATCTATATAACGGGTTTTTATGTCAATTGACCAATTAGATCACAAGGTAATAGCATGAAATCACGCTTTTTTGAAGATGCCCAGTAACTCCTACGAAACCACCTAACTCAAAAAAATTTGTTTGATATTACTCCTAAAATTTATTTTTTTTTTTTTTGGTATTTAATTAGTCGCTGTGAAGACGTCATGACCAACGCTAAAGTATCATCAAATGACCTAGTATTAATTGATTATCCCTGATTATCAGGTAATTATTACACCAAATATGGAAAAAATTTTTTTTTGGATATCAATAAAAATAAATTTGAAGATCAGGAAAAAGTTTTTACTTTTACCGACGCTAATACATAACGATAATATAAAACATTGCATAGTTAAACTCGAAAACATCATCCTTATGCCTTCAAGTTCACGTCAAAGATCTATTAAAGACCTCACACCTGCTAATTATACAATACCCCGTGCATTAAAAAATGTATCAACAAAGGAATCAGTTGCATCAACACTTGCACTTTCACGAGTTGTTAAAATTCCTGCACCTAAAGGAAAACCTATTTCACAATTATCGCTAACTTTTCCAAATAATTCCTTACATGAAAGGCCCATAGTTAACCAAAGTACGATTACATTCAATATTAATACTATTAATACTATTAATACTATTAATACTCTAAGCGCTGAATATAACAATAGTGGAGTAATAAACACTTTACCACCGTTTTCCAAATTTCCTGAATCAGTCGGATCGTACAAATGGCAATTAGAACCTTCTCGTACATCCAACGATAGTCAAAAAGTTCCTAAGCTTGGATCTAATATTCTACATTTGGATAAAGGTTTTCAATATACCATCAATCAAAGTAAAGATTCAAGTGCGAAATCAAAAAATAAAATGATTGAAACTAGTGTGATGTTACCCTGTAACTATCCAAATTCCAAATCTCCAGATGAATCTTTTGAAAATAAACAATTAGATGAATTCTCTGATGATCTGTCAAGAAATTATCCTCCAAATGGTGCACCTTATAATGAACCTTTGTTAAAAAGTAAAGGAAAACGCATCAACCCTATTTTTGAAAACAATCCATTTAATGTTGAGGATTCGAACAAAAAATCAAAGCACATAAACCATCTATTTGATGATTCGATGGCCGATAGCATGTCCGGTCGAGACCATCTAGTCGACAAAACTGAAAGAAAACCGTCTTCTAATGATTCAAACAATATTGTGCAGACATCTGATGATCATTCTGTTACTAAGTTGGATCTGACTTTTAAGTATAATAATAACATATCCGAACGCGATGAATCTGATAAATTGTTCAAGGATACCACATATTATTCTATTAGTGCCATATTTAACTCTGGTGCTATAGACATCATGCAAGATACTCGTTTAACTTGGCGTTCTTTTCAAGAAAAATGGACCATGTTTTGGGATATGCGACCATGTGTTCTTTTACAAGAATTCACTCGATTTCATCAACTTCCTGATCCTGTTTATTCCTTAAAAGTTGGTTCTGATGATGCATTTTGGTTCGATTGTTCGATTGGTGCTCGTTATTTCAATCCATTACAATCATGTTTTGATTGTTGGATTGAAAATGATGCAATCGATTATGTATCGATTCAGGCCTTTGAAGTTTTAACTATCGAACTTAGCGAAGTTGGAGGGCGTGAGATTGAATATCCTGCACACAAGCAAGTAAGATGCTGTCATGAAGTAGTGTTTGATCAAGAGACTGTTAGATTTAACTCAACTCCATCTAATTTTCGCGATCAATATAAGTGGCATCATCATCAACGCAAAACTTCTTCATTCTGGAGACGTCGACCTTGTATTCTTTTATTTGAATTTTGTCAAGCTCACCAAATCTCTGTTCCAACTTATTTGTTACATATAAATAGAAATACTGGTGCATTTTGGTTTGATTGTTACATTGATGACCGGCTTTTCACTCCTCAAAACCAACCATGTATGTGTTGTTGGATACAAAATGATGCGATCGATCACGTATCAATTCAAGTGTTTGAAACTTTATTCTCAGAATTTTGTGATCAAGATATAAAAGTTCTAAGTTATCCAACGCACAAACGAATAAAATGTTCCCATATACGTGGATATGATAATGGTGCAAAAGAAAATACCCGGGAATCTGATGATCACAATGTAAATTGTGTTTAGAAAAATTTGGTGAAAAGGGTTAGAATGGCAGAGTAAATAATATTTTAGATTTTTTTTAGAGTAAGAAATGTCTGTGGTTTATTGTCATAATAAAGGTGAAATAAGTCATGCTTGATAAATATGAAAATATTTTCTATCTGAAATTTCTGCGTTATAAGGCATAATAAAGATAAGCTTTAATACAGTGGTGATTATAACATTCAGCAAAAAGATTATAATAACTCGCGCAATTTTGTTATACCCTCAAATTTATTCACAAATAGTATCATTTTTCATTTTCAAAGTTTATAAAATTTTATTATCATGATCATAGAATTTCATTCTTGATGAAAATAACATATGCCAAACCTCATTTGTCAATAAAGCAATCATGATCTTTGAAAAATTGCATAATCTAAGCTACGGATATTTAAATGCGAAATTTTTAAATATTTTTATATTTAAAAACTAGAATATCTTACAATCTAAAATGCGTTGTATATTTTTAGAAATGAATAATCGAATTTATCAACACTAATTTGTTACGCATTTTTTTCAACTTTCTCGTTTGCCTGTTGTATTTAGTTTTTTGGTTATTCACTTGATTAACATTGATTTATATACTGTACCTTATCCCATGGGTACTATGTAACAACCCGTGCTTTTTTGACAAGGTTATTTTCATCGGTCTATATGAAAATCACATAATTCATATAAACCGATGTGAATAACCTTGTCATAAATCATCGTGTTTATGTAAGTTTGAGTCCTTTAAATTGTTGTGTGCAAGAATTTATTTAGATTTCGGTCTCTTAAATTGTCGCACCCACCTAGTATCGCCACCAAAATCATGTACGTATTACGGAACTTAAATTTATTTTCCGATATGATAACAATATGAAATATGATGACGATAATGATATTTGATTAATAATAAAAATAATAAAATAATTTACATCAAATTTTTTATTTCTTTGAATTTTTCGTAATATTTTCTAATATTCTCTAAAATGGAAAATATGAATTTTACACAACGTTGCTCGTCCTGTCGAATTATGAAATCTAGCGTTGCGTTTCAAAATAATCAAAAAACATGTTCTGAATGTTTATATCGCATAAATGGAAGTAGAAAAAGAAAACATGATGATCAAATTTTAAACGATATTAGCAAGAAGAAAGAAAATGCTATAAAATCTGAAGAACTTGAACATATTGTTTATGAAAAACTCATGGATAATGAAAGAGAAAACAACATGTATATGGATCTTGAGATAGTTGTGGATGTTTTTTACAAATTAGAAAACAATGATACCGATGAAGATTTTGCAAGTTCATTAGCACTTGAGATCATAAAGGTCTGTGAAAAAGAAGATGGTTATTCGTATATTTACTATAAAAAGTACTATAATAAACAAATAAAAACTATTTCTTTTACCTACTGGTACAATTGTCATTATGAGCTTGAAAAGAGGATGAAAAAGAATAAAGATGAAAGTAAACAGTGTAATAGAGAGCCACGAATTGCACATTATGACTGCAAAGGAACCATCGTTATTAAAGTTGACTTACAGAATACTTTGGCATTCATAAAGCTCAATCATACTCTACATCCACGACCACAACATTTTAATGTAAATAATGAAATTAAAGAATACATTCAAGCCAATATGAATCATTCAGCGTCTGAATTATATCAGCAAATTGTGACTAAAAAAATGGAAGATTACGAATTACTCACGACCAATCAAATATATTACTGGTAGATGCAGTATGCAGTTACAACATATAAACGAGCAGATAATCAACTTCAATTGGCTAAACTATTGTTAGAAGAAAAAAAATATAATATTATTTTAGATCTTGATAATCCAACATTAGCATTTGCCTTTACAACGCCTTTTGCCAATATTTTGCCAAAAACAGCATTTAAAGTAATGGTCGTAGATGCAACTTATAATACCAACCAATTGA